TCTTTTTTTTTTTTTTTTTTTTTTTTTCTCCATAGATACAATGTTGTGATTGGCTCCTCCACCAGCATCGTGGGTCCTGTCATTCCTTCTGAGACCAAAGAGGTGTTCTGTCGCCACTTGGCATCTTACAACTCCTGGGCGTTATTAGGTCAGTTCCACTCTCAACCCAGCTGGGTTAGCACAGGGTGTAGTGAGTTTCTTGTGGTGCATTCAGCAGTTTTCAAGCCAGCTATGTGTTTAATTCAACTTCCATCTGTGTGTACTACCATTTTATGTTCCATCTTGTTAATGTTCTCTCCTGCTGCTCTCTATGCTACTGATGTCAGCGGGTTGAGAGCTACCACTGCCTGCCCATCCAAAGAACAGAGAGGGGAAGAAGAATTGGAGTGACGTAGTAGAAAAGTCAGTGGCACTCCAATGAGAATTTCAGTCAAAGTTCTTTATTGACAAAAGAATTGTCACATCGTAAAGGATCGATTTGAGATTTCTTTTGTCAATAAAGAACATTGACTGAAATTCTCATTGGAGTGCCAGTGACTTTTGTACTACGTGATACTGATCTGCAGAGGCATCTGCTGTTATCTTGGCACCCACCCATTATCTAGGGTTATATCCGGTCAGGAGTGCGACGGGATCTACTTGAAGAAACGCAGCAGTCACATGACTTGAGCAGGGGGAAGAGGGTGGAGTCTGGTCAGGGGGTACATAATTGAAATGTTTGCTGGAGTTCCACTTTAAAATGAAAAACTGCTGTAGATATATTTAAAGAGGACTTTCCTATTTTATTTATTTATTTTAAATTTCTAATTAAACCATCACTGCTAGAGACGCACAGATTGCTGTTGCTTCAGAAAAGGTTAGTTGCCTGGCAGTGATGCCGGTCAGGAACGAGCATGCACCGAGTGAAGTCAGGGTAAAGTTAGACTCCCAATCAGCATACTTGTTCAGGATCAGAGATACAAACTGTTCGAGCCGTGGGCTTGTATTACAGCCAGACAAATGGCACTTTTAGAAGGAGCTCCTGGCACTGGTAGCATGTGTATTCCTCTGATATGTTGTACTCTGTGTTTTATATGAAATGGTAGATGATGATGATGATGATTGATGATGAATTTTCACCATTGCTTTTGGCCAGGCATTGAATTCATTACTACCCAGATGAAGTCTCTGGTCCTCTCTATGGGTCTCATAGACCGGTTCCTGACTGTGGAGAAAGCTGTCGTCTTATCGCGCTTAGAGGAGGAGTACCAGGTAAAGAGGAAACTTGCATTTTCTGCCTTTTGCATTTTCTGCCTTTTGACTCTGTTGAGTTCTGATAATTTGAGATCTCCGTGGCCCTTTCACACTTCCATCCACTTAGGCCCATGTCAGACTAGCGAGACCTAGTATAGGAGCCTCCTGTAATAAAGACCGATCACTCTCCTTGTGCAGGGTGACTGGTCTGGTCTCCGCACCCCACTACTGTAATAAAGACCGGTCACTGCAGCTTGTTTTCAGCGCAACATGTCAAAAATTACTTCACTGTAATAACATTACAGTGAAGTTTGTCCACTCAGGAAATGTTACTATAAAGCTTGCCAAAAAAAAAAACCCAACATGATGGAACGCAACAAATTGGGAGGAAATCAGAAGGTGCAGTTGCAAGTGAACGGATCCACCGTGGACTTGCGTGTACCTTCTGATTTTGGTGTGAATGCACCCTTAAAGTGTAATGACAACAATTTTTTTTTAGCCGTCCACAATGTAGGGAAGAGGTAGAATCTCTGTCAGCCCTTTATTGCTGCCCTGTGAAATTGCCCCACTTCCTGTTTTGTTAACAACTGGGCTATCGGGACAACAAGTGAGGTAGACAATCTTCAATACAGGTACAGAAAGCATTTCTCAGGGGTAGGCAAACTCCAGCCCCCTCCAGCTGTTCTGAAATGTCAAATCCCATCCCAAATGTCTCTGGGGGATCATGCCTGAGTCTTGCAATGGCTCATGGGATTTGTAGTTGCGGCACAGCTGAAGGGGTGAAGTTTGCCTACCCCTGCTCTACGTAGTCACTGGTGCAGAAAGTGAAGGAGATCTCCCCAACAGGGAACAGACAAAAGTAAAGTCCTTACAGAGATTCTACTAAAGAAAGTTTTAGCTGATGTTTCTGATAACTGAAAGGGAGTTTTAATGCAACTCTGTTACTAAAATAAAGATTCAAAGTACTGTGGCCCCTGTAAAGGATGCCCTAAAACATCTGGGAGTGCTAGATCTCCGGTCCTCCACTGCACTTGGTGGTTCAGTCCACCAATCCTTATCATTTGTGTCTGCTGTAGTGCAGGGAGTACGCAACCTCAGCTGTGGTGAAACTACAAGTCCCACAAGGCATTGCAAGACTCCTGGAAGCCACGGGCATGACTCCCAGAGACATGGTGGGATTTGTAGCTTCACCACAGCTGGATTGTCGAGGTTGCCTATCTCTGCTGTAGTGGCTTAGGGGCCATTGAGGGACCAGGAAATCAATACTGCAGGATCTTCAGAAGCGAGTATTCAATGTTTGCTTTGCTGGGGAAATGTATTTTGAATCCGCTATAATATTGCATCTTCCTGGAGTTTGTATCTTTAACCATGTGCTTTGTTATTCCGGTACAGATCCAGCATTGGGGGAAGGTAGAGTGGGCTCACGATTATGATCTGCATGAATTATGCGCTCGGACGGCTGCGGGAATTCTATTCATTCATCTTTGTTCTTCAAGCTCAACTGTAAAACATAAACTCTTACAAGACTGACTTCGGGCTGCGCAACCAAGAGGCTAAACCTTGGCTGTGGCGGCCATGTTTGACAACATGAAGTTAAGGGCCCATTCACACCGGATCCATTGCGCTGTGATACGCTTTTCAATGGAAGGGCTTTGAAAAATGAATGGGTGTGAATGGGGGCTAGATCACTCTGAATGGGGGCTATATCACTCTGAATGGGGGCTATATCACTCTGAATGGGGGCTAGTTCACTCTGAATGGGTGCTAGTTCCCTCTGTTCCATTGCTGCATAGAACATGCGCTACTTTTTTTTTCACCGCAACGTAAATCAACAGATCCGGTTTGAACTAGTCCCATTCACATCCATTAATTTTTCGGTGCCTTTCCGTTAGCATCTGTTGAAAAACAGAGCGCAACACAATGGATTGGAAGGAAATCGAAAGGTGCAATTGCAAGTAAACGGACCACCAGTTGACTTGCGATTTCCTTCCGATTTTGGTGTGAATGCACCCTGTTATTTTTTAGATGAAGAGATACGAAGTTTTCTCTCAGCCATTTTTAAGATACACCAGTACAGGACCCTGTGGAGTATATTTATTACAATGTGTAACCATATTTTTCCATTGTTTCAAAAAATAAACCCAGAAACACTTTGCATTACCCATTGAGATGTACAACACCCCCCGAATTCAGAGAGAAGGTACCTCAGACTCCAGTATTGATACTCGACATTGGGGGCCTGACCTCGAGAAGCTTAACAAAGGAGTTCCTCCATTGTCTGGTTACAAAGTTACCCGGAAGTGTTCTCTTGCAAGCCACTGAGGAGTGAAGACGCGCCGTGTATCACCATCCAGCCTGGAGAGTTTTCTCTCCTCTGCTCCTCCTCACAGTACGTCTCGGCACTGGCCATAGAGCTGGGCTTAGCTTTTGGACACGGCGGGATCTTTTGATGGGCTAAGGATTCACCCGTTGCATTCTATTTGCTTCATTAAAGAACTTCCTGTTCTATTACACTTCTGTCTTTTGTGCCTACTTGTTTTGTAATGTGACCATTTATTTGCCTGACTACTGTTTATCTTTCAATCATTTGTTATTTCAATTAAAAGGTTTGTCTTATATCTAGAACGATACAATTCCTCTAAAAACACGCCAACCTAAAACACAAATTCATGTCAAAGGTACAATTAATATTGTAATTATTTTATTATACAGGATTTATATAGCGCCAACAGTTTGCGTAGCGCTTTACAATATAAGGAAGACATTACAATCACAATACAATTCAAGACAAGATGGTAAATAGGGCCCTGCCTGTGAGGGCTTACAATCTAAAAGGGAGGGGGAAGTGATACATGAGGAGGTGTATCAATGCAACATAAATGAATGTTCACTTCTTCATAAAAGAAATACAAATTGCATTTATTTCTTAGCATAGGAGCCAGTGAAGCATTGCAGAAGTGATCAGTGGAGGGCGGGTGCAATGCTCTGGCTTCTGCAGATTCTTCTTCCCATTCATGTCCAAGGTACTGACCTGCTTTAACATTCAGCAACATGGAGAGTCAATGGCATATCAATGGACTACAAGTGGGGGAACATCACTTGTATTCCAGTGAGAACTACAGGTCTCTCTACCACGGATGGGACTTGTCGTTTTTCCATTTATGGATCCTGTGGCGCAGCCATACACCAATGCGCTAAATTAAAAAATAAGTAAACAAGCCTGCGGGGAGGACACCCCTGCGATTCAAGTAAATGGGACGGGTGGAGTTTGGTTGAATTGCAATCTGATCATGTTTCATGGTCGAAAGGGTTAACTTAGCCTTTAATGTAACAATATAACAAAAGATACTTGAAATAATATTGAGATTGAGTGAGGAGAGACCTTTTATAGTCACATTATTGACTGACTAACCTCTAACGGAAAGAATTGAAGGCTGTCATTGCTGTCCTCTCCTTCTAAAAGTGCAATTTGCCTCACTGCCATGGTCACCCTCTTGCTACATATTTCAAGTCACCCAAAACAAGTAGGCAGGTAAAGGTTTCTGACTTTTCTAGGACCTTTTTCATCACTATACTTGTCTTCGGTTGGCAAGCTGAAATTATTGATTTATTTTAGGGCTGGTACTGATAACAATTTTCGTGTTCGATTAATCGAAAAAAAAATGTAATCGATTTAATTTCGATTAATTATAACGCACATACAGATCCAACTACATTGGCCTATACACATACAGCACAGCAATTAATAAAATGAACTAGGATCACACTAATCCAGCACGTTATTAATCTCACGTGCCCCACTCAATATGGCCGCCGCTTGAGTGGGGCAACTCCGATAATAACGTGCTGGATTAGTGTGATCCTAGTTCATTTTATTACTTCATTGCTGTGCTGTATGTGTATAGGCCAATGCCTTGGCTGGAGCTTGTGCAGAACAAGTTTCTTGGCCAAACCTCTTAGTTGTAACGAAAACGCAAGTCAGGCGGTCGCTGAACTCGATAAGTGGCGACAGATCACCGGTCCAAGTGGCTCCGTCGGCTAACGAAGGGAAGGGGGGAGGAGTCCGGTGACGTCACGGACATCGACGTCACCGAACTCCTCCCGCCCTTCCCTTCGTTAGCTGACGGAGCCACTTGGGGAAGGGCGGGAGGAGTTCGGTGACGTCAATGGATCTCCGACGGGACTCCCGGAAGCCGGCGGAGAGGTGAGTGTTTTCATTATTGATCAAAATAATTTTAATCTATCAAAAATGTTAACGATTCATCGGGTAATTAATCGTTAATTTCCGCAGCCCTAATTTATTTCCATGGCAGCCATACAGCATTTTGAGAAGATGGTCAGCTAGGGAATCCTATGCATTTTCAGGTGGTAGGTTTACTTTAAAGTAACATATAAAATATAATATTTGTAAGAACGCTCCACCCACCAAGCTTTGTGCTGATATATGTAAAATTTGAATTTTATTGATGAAATCCTAAGGGGGTTAGTCACAAAGCTGCCCAAGGCAGGGGAGTGAATAACCCAGCCGAAGTCTACTGACCCGAATGGCGTCGGCTATTCACTTCAGCCTTGTACGGCTGATTTCAGCCATACATCGGCTGACCATGCTCATCAAATTCGGCTGAGCCGAAGTGCAGATGGAGATCAACTCGGCCGATCCAACCTCTGGATCGGCTGAGCCGAAGCTCCGGTAGCTCATTCGCCTTTATTCTCGTAGGGGCCGAACAGCATGGAGTGGATAGCCGATCGTCTATTCTGCTCGCTACCGAGCAGAATAGAAAAAAAATGTAAACAGATACAAAAACTTGAAAGATTAAAAAAAAAAAAAGTCAAGAAAATAATTGGAAACATTTTAAAGAAAATAAATAGCCCGTACAGCAGCCCTTCTTTTCGGCTGAACTGAAGGACTCAGGTGGCCGAGGTGAGCCGTAGGATAATCCTTTTGTGAATAACCCTCTAAATTCCTTGAATTCCAGGATTTTGGCTCAATCCACAGGTTGCAGAAATGAAAACTGGCCACCAGATGGCAATGTTGCACACAAAAAAAAAACCAGGTAAAACTACTTGCCGTAAGCTGCAGTTATCATACATTGGTCTTGGGACTGTGCGGGTTAATTGTCCCACTACACCCAGATAGTAAAATGATTTAAAGTGATATTAAAGTCAAAATGTTTTGAAGCTATTCCAAATGCTGATGAAATCACGGACAATGGATGCTGCTACTTGATGTTTAAAAAAAGTTTTAGTTTCCAGCAGAATCAGCTGGTCTCCTGAGCACTAGACCTGATATCCTGATTTAGGGTGACTCCATTTCCTTGCAGGGTCTTCTGTAGCCACCCTTGTGTGTTAGTAAGCTGTGTGTCTCCACAAACACAGGGACAGCAAGGCAAGATGTTCCCCTGCTTCCCTTTCCTCCCTTTTCATTTCTCCCCCCTTCAATCTCCCCTCTCCAAGCTAGTAGAAAGACATGTGCACTGGCAAAAAATTAGTTTTGTTTCGTTTTGATTCGCATTTTGTGTTATTTCGTTTTTCGGGATTCGGGTGTGAAAGTCAATTTTTATTCTGCCGAAATTAGTTTTGTTTTCGTTTCTTATTCGCTTTGTTCATTCGTTCGTTGCAGCAAAGTGACATTTGAGGGGTAAAAAATGTTTTTCTCCTTCTCTAATGTCACTTTGCTGCAACGAACGCACGAAACGCATAAGAAACGAACGTTCGAAAGAGCTACCGCTAACGGATTTTGGAAACGGAAATTCGGATTTGTTTGCATTCGTTATCTGTAATTCGGAATTCGGATACATCCAAATGTCCGTATTTCCGAAAATTCGTCCGAATTTTGTTTCGGAACAAAACAAATCGCACATGTCTACTAGTAGATGGAAGGCTGCTGGAGACTGCTCTGTCCCTTGTCATGTTATACTCAACAGGAAGCTGAGGGAAGATGATCTGAGAGACTTGGATCTGTTTGGAGACCTCATGCCAATAAGTGCATGGGCAAAAATGTTAAATACTTTGCTGGCCGATGTATATTTGTTTGATCTGGATACTAGACATGTGTGATTCGTTTAGTTCCGAATCGAAATTCGGACGAAATTTCGGAAATTGGTGGATCCGAAGCTTCTGATTTTCCATGTACCATGTCCGAATTCATTCCGAAAGCATCCGAATCTGAAATTTCGGATTCAGTACGAATTTCGTCCTAACAGAAACTAAATTAGAAGTCTACGATAATGACTTCAAAAAGAGGATTTCATAGCATGTGAAGATAAAAAACATAACATTACTTCATGTTCCTGTGCGCGCACCGTCAACGTTTAAACGGATACAAAAAATTAAGAAAATGATTTTAATGTTCCTTTAATAGTGAAGACTAGAGCACAGCAACCAGAAATGTCAACTGTGCCAATTCTGCTACATACGTGCGTACGAACATTCCTCTGTTCACGCAAAACCCCAAATTTAGGAAATTCGTCTGAATTCCGAATCCGATCCGAATCCGATCCGAATTCCGAATCCGAGACCCAAAACGAAACACATACAGGACCCGATTTCGGAAATCCGAAATAAAGGAAATCCGAAACAAATTGTTTTGCGGCTGCACATGTCTACTGGACACATTGATGAGAAAATGTTTGAGCGCCATATACTGTCTATAATGTGTATTTTAAAACGTTGTAACAATCCACACAAATAAAGTGAGGGGAACAGATGAACTTTACTGGACCTCGGTACAATACTTTTAACATGTTTACCTAATTGCCCAACACACTTTGTACTTCGGAATATGGGGAAACATGACCCTCTCCCCTTACTACGACGATGAGGTGCTAGCTGTCTCAGCACCAGTTCTGTCACATGGAGGTGAAGAGACCCTTCAACCCTTTGCAAGCTCCACACAGACCATCTCAGAGCTTGCACAGAGCTTTTACTCGTAGCTTCAACTGGCACCACAGCCTGGGAGGTAGGGAAGGGCAATTAGGAGAACCTATTTCTTTGCTCTGCACGTTCACCACTTTAGGCAGAACTCCACTCTCCCCCCTCCCCCCCAAAACAGTACAAGATGATGAAATTCTGATCCTAATAATATATTACTATTAACCCATAATCAATATTTCACTGGGGTAAATAAAGGAGAACTATGAGGTGAGTGCTTTTCACTCACCTCATAGTTCTAGCCGACCTGTGACAATGAGACTGTCACAGGTCGGCTCAGTAGATCAGAAGGTGAGCGAACACATGCCGGCGCCCCCCCCCCTCTCGACCCTGTCACGGCTCTCTGCCGTGACGGGAGGGGATGGATTCCCCCCTCCCTGCTCCGATCTGCCAGCGCTGACTGGCAGAACGGACGGGGGAGGGGGCGGAACGGACGGGGGAGGGGGCTGTCACTCACGCAGCTGGGCGGATCTCGACATCGATGTCGGGATCCGCTCCGGCTGCGGCATCTCAGTATACCGCGAGTTGTAGCTTGCGGTACACTGAGCTTAGGGTGACGGGAGGAGGCTAGTTTGTGTCCTCCCGTTACCCTAAGGAGAACTATGGGGAAAAGCCTTAACCCCATAGTTCTCCTTTAAGGCAAGCATTCTGGTCTAAACAAACATTTCAGTAGTTTCAAATAAAAGTCATGTTCTGATACCTAAATATAATCTTAAGGGCAAGGTGCACGCATTAAGCAAAATAACATTCCCTTGAATCATCAGAATTTCCTGGACATAAACAGAGACCGTTGATTACTGTAATCACAGTAGATTAAAAAAAAATGTTTAATCAGTTTTGGTTTAATACCAATTAATAAAGAGTATAAATGTGCATTTCAAATGGCTTTTCAATGAAGAATATACTGAGAGATTAACTCATAATGAACAAGGTGTATGTCTTTTGACTGTAGAGCAGTTCACAGTGTGATTTATTATCCTTCAAAGAATGCAATGTCTCATTGCATCCTCTCTCTTATCTCCCTTGTGATGGTCTCCAGGGAGATAAGATACAACTGTGCCAGATGGTAACACAAAGATTAATTTAATAATGTGCAAAAAGCAATGACATACGGTAACAAAAGAATTTCGGAGCACCTTTTATTGGTCTGACTGCTCTAAATTAAACCTGCCTTTGTCTAAGCAGAGGAAAGCAGGTTTACTTAAATGTCGTTCCCCCCAGCTGCACCTATCTCCCCTTCTCTCCCCCACTGTTCTGCTCATTCACCGGAGCAAAGAGAAGAAGACTCAGAAGACCTGTGTAAGTTTTAAATTGACCTTGGAGCCTACACGAGGCTAATTACTCTCTCCCCACCGCTACGTGACAGCTGTGATGTCTTTAGATTGGCTGCTTGGGCACCAAGGCTGCATTATGAAGGGTAGAGATGCTCCCCATACCTGGAAGTAATTCTCTGCACTGCAAGAATAGTGATGAGTAGTCAGGAAGTATAGAGAAGGTAATTGTATGTAGGTTTGCGTAGGAAAGCACAGGCTCACTTTAAACCACATCCTCTAAAATGAGGTTGTGTCAGGGCATACCCAAACCTAGTCTCTAGACCTCAACATGATCTGCCAAGGAGCCCACAACGTGGACCTTATGATAACATAGCCTATGTCTTAAAGGTCCTTTTTTATTTTCCAAAAAAGAAGATCGAAACACATCCAGAATACTCTGAAAAGAATGGTGGACTTATTCGATAAAACAACGCAAGAAGAAAAACCTTCTTAGCACCCAATAAAGGTTAGTTTTATATTGGTTTGGCTCTATAGAGATATGTGCTTTGCCCTTTCCATGTTTTTCTGGGTACGTTCACTTGTCTCCTTGTTGTTCTAGAATCCACCAAGAAGAACATCCTTGGCTATGGAAAGAAAAGCCTCAGATTAGGCCTACTTGGGCTGTAACTTCCACCACCACTAGGATAATTGGTCTGAAAATAGTGCTGATGTTACTAATAATCCCCCTTCCAAAGTCTTTATCATGCATCTTGTGATGCAAGCTATGCAGCGAGTGTGAAGGACATGCTGATGATGTTCTGTAGAACTTCCAAGGGAGGATGAATGACATTGCACGCATAGGCAATGGTCATGTCCAAGCCATCAACAAACCCAACGTTCAACCCTTTAAAAATCTCCCGGAGTGCCAGATACTGGACATGGCCATGGAAGTCACTGAAGCGCTCCATGTCGATGTCAAACTCACGGGCGTTCTCCTCCTTTATGATCACTCTGGTGCGCGGACTTCGGATAAAGAGTCGCTCTATCGCTCTTCGTACATTAATCGCCGACCTGATGAAGGTCCGAAAGGGGAAAGGCCTGAAATGTTGACCCAAAGTTAGAATGATAATGGTGTTTTCTCCTCCACCAACCTGGTCGATCTGGCGGGCCATGTAGGCATCTTCTTTGATGGAGTAGAAGGTTTTGCTGACAAACGGAAAAGTGTGTTTCTTCCACTGGACGTATATGAACTTTTCCAGATTAATGGCCAGAAGAGTCTTTTGCCAGGACTGCATCTCATCTTCCGTGTGATTGAAGTAATCAACAACTTGAAGAATAAAAAGCCATTAGTCATTTAAACAA